GGTTATGTATAATATATAATAAGGGTCTCTTACGCACCGATATTTTTTTTCAATTTATTTCCTTATATAAACTAGTCTTATCATTGCCAACATTTATTTAAAGTTGTCTGTTGGTGCGATCTCAAAAAATGGTGTGTAGCACAAGGCCCCTCACCTTTGCTTATCTTATGGTTTATTATATATAATATGTAATCTATAAATAACTTAACTAGTTCGTAAGAAACATTATTTCCTTGTAATGGTTGTTTGTATGCAACCAAGCTGGAATAAATACAGATTATAAAATGTGTCGTGTTTTTCTTCAACCAAACCAAAACATTTTAAACTGGTATTCTGTGGTCTCGCTCAAAGTTTAATTTGTTATAATAATACTCATTATTTTGATTCGACCGTAGAGGATATTAGTATTACCTTTTCTAGGCTTGTGTTATTAAGCTCACATCAAAAGTTAATAATCTTCACCAAAGAGGTCTGCCGTAAAATATTGGATAATAAGGTTCAAAGTTGTTTAATTCTTAAATTGTTTATGTATACCATTTATAATATTCGTCATTTAATAGTTCCATGCAGTTCAATTTCAGTATTTTAATTTAATTTTAATTGTACGGAACGTTTCCTCCACGCCAGTATTTTCTCCCGTATCGTGGGGCAGTTGCCATACATAAATTTCATAAAGACAAACATCCAGATACGGAATAATGACTTGTAGGCCATACTCATACTTGTTCGGTGCAACATTTAAACTCCCAGACCATAAGCGCAGCAACACATTACTAAAACATATCGCCATGGAGCCCTCATATAAGAGTCAAGTCCCTATTTTTAAAGTTGGTTACAGACTTCCATGGGCTCCTTTGACCATTCAACCCAATAGACGAGTAATGCGCCTAATGCTACGAACAAAAAAGTCTGTTACTATCGGTGCAGGGGAGGAAACACTACATGGACAGTACTGTACACCTACTCACACTACACTATTCCATTTTACGCACACATAAGTTAAATACATTAACAAGGAAAAGTTATGAGTGTAAGACGGAAAAATTAATTGTGATGCTACCATATCTATATTTTATATCGATAGTTTCCCTAAGAAAAATAGAAAACTCACAAGCATTAGCAAAATGCACTCGAACCATTAAAATCATCTGTTTAGTTGGTCAGTGTAGCAAGTTTTTTTAGAGTTCTGTAGTAATACAACAAGGAACTTTTGGCGGCGCTGTCGTCGCGCCACAAGCGCAACTCATCAATGCCAAAATCACGCTATCAAAGTTCCGAACCAAATACAGTATATATACAATAGCTCCGAACTATCACACGGAGTGTTAACCGCTCCTCGGGCAGAACACCTTGCCTGGCGAGAGATCTCCCCTTTTCCTTCCACCGCCATAAACTCTTATAGTTTCGCCAAGTCCGACAGTCTGTATTTGTCCGCGGCTTAGTGCAGGGACAATTGGTATTCTAAAGAGCTGTAATTTGGCATGGTTAAATACGAATACCAGAAATAAAAAGGCTCTGAGTACCAAAAACAAAAAGTGGAGGAACCTATGTTTTTAATAATAAGCCAATCCTCACCAAAAAATATTTTTAAAATCGATATTTATATTACAATAAAATGCTTTTGTGAAACAAAAGTAAAATATCTCAAATTATTAATTAGTGCAATAAATATAAAGGAATAAATTTAAAAAATATGTATTTATTTTAGGCTAATCCTAAGATTATCACTAATGATTGTACAACATCGTTTATTTTAAAACGTTCAAAGAAAAAGTTACAAGTTTGCAAGATATACTAGATTTGCTGACAGAGATATCTTTGATAAATAAAGAAAACAAACAGATCCTAGAAAAGATAGGAATTAAAGAAAGCGAACCAAAAAAAAGCCTATCGCTTTGTACGCAAAAGTTTGGAACTTGTTTACCGCACCAGGAATCAGAAAACCTTAATCCACCCACGTAGACGAAGTCGCGGGCATCATTTAGATAAAAAATAAAATAGGTCAATATAGTTTAAATATAATAATTGAAGGAAGTTTTAGTATAGACAAATCTATAGTTTTTTTTTGTTGATTTTAATCCTTAATCTAAGGACAAAAAATTTTCATTCACACTTTTATTATAATAATAGGTAATCTTGTTTAGTTGAGTGTTTAATGATAAATTTTAATGCTTCTTCAATGAATAATAATGAAAAATTATCGATATCGATCCACACGTCACAGTCACATCACACGTCAATATGACACCATTTTCAATTGAGGTTATGAGAACCAAAGTAGCCTATCTACCAATAATGAGTACGGAGATTTAAAGGAAAACTGAAAGCTATGATTTTTTCACAATTTTATGGTCAAATTAATGATTTCTCAATGTTTTCATTATGTGTATTCTAAGTTCAGGTGCTAATTTTGTCAAATTATTCAGAGAACAAGTAATTTACTCTATGTTTTTGTTTTTTTTTTCTTCAGTTAGGCCGCTATGGCTTTTTGGGATATATAAACCATCTTGGGGTACATCTATTGCATTCATAACAGTAGCACTGGCCCTTATTGATGTATAGAACTCATGGTGAATGGGTGGTATGTAGTTTAGGAGTTCGTGTAAGTCCTTCTTTTCAGCATTGATCAACTTTCCATCGGGTTACAGCAGATCTAGCTCTATATCTATAAATGCCTTTGAATTTTGTTTTCCAACATGATTTTTGAACAACACCTGTGGATTGTTTGAAAAGAATATTCTATAAAGGTTCATTTTGTTAAATTTCAACCGCTGGATTTTCAACTTTTGAGCGTTCAGTGGTAACTTTTCAGTTAGTAATATTTACCTCAAGTTTTGTTATTGAGAAAAGTCTTCCTTCTGCATTCTCATAATTTTGAATGGATTTTTATGTCTGGCTGCTTTGATCAATTGAAGCAAATCATCAGGAACATAAATATTTTGAAACAACTTTTTCTTCTTTTCAATTAAACCAAAGTCCTAGTCACAAACGAGATAGAAAGGTCCATTTACATAAATTTTATGGTCAATGGTCTCTATAGTAAAATCCTGATGGGCTACTATATATTGACATAATAAAGCCATTTTGATATTCCTGTTCTGTCACCCACATTGGTCAGAATATAGAATCAAGTTTTTAGTGTGCACATTTTCTTTGACATACCTCAACAGGCATGATCCAATTTCCTAAGATGCTCTGGAGGCGATGGTCTCATTCCAGACACACATTGTAACATGGTCATTACAAGCATCATGTATGCCAAGACAGTAGGTTACGTTTTCTTGACTTCTAAATCATCATTGATTGTACCAGGAGGGATGTTTTAATCTTGTGGAAATTCAGGCAGGTCTAAATATTCTGGGGATGGATTTCTCGATGGTACGTACTCAGAACCCGAATCTTGAAAGGATTCGTCATCACGCGCAAACATTCCTGTAAAAAAAAGGAACATAACGTTTGACTTAATAATTATTTCAACTAGTGAATACGCTACTTATAATAAATTAAGTAAAACCTACCTTCCATCTGTAGTTCAACATCATAAGATTCTTGGTTTTCACCTGGGTTTTCATACATACATAAATACATAAACACTCACGCCTGTCACCCAGAGGGGTAGGCAGAGACTACAGACTTCCATCCGATACGATCCTGACACACCTCTCTTGCCTCCTTCACATCCATACACCTACGCATACATGCCCGTCGGTTAAGGGTACTACTAATTTGGCCCGTTTTCAATAAATCGCCAATTTGGTCGATAAATTTTCGCCTAGGACGTCTCTTTCCGACTCTGCCAGTCACTTCTGCACCATAGATTTTCTTTGTCACTCTTTCTTCATTAATTCTTTTCACATGATCCAACCACCGAAGCATCCCTTTCTTAATCCTGGTGACCACATCATCTTGCAAACCACACTCTTCTCTTATTACACAATTTCTTACCCTGTCATTCAGATTCAGCCCTAACATAGTCCTTAACGACCGCATTTCTACTGCGTTTATTCTACTCTCATGCTTCTTCTGCCACACCCAACTTTCACTACCATACGTTAAAGTAGGGACCAACACAGCATTGTGAATTGCCATACGTGCCTTTTTCGACACATTTTGACTCTTCACAATAGAGTGCAAGGCCCCATTTACTCTATTTCCCGTTTACTATATTTACTATATTTTTCATCTTCTATAAAATATCCATTTTTTTTAATTTGTACACCAAATGTTCAAAAATTATTTAATTATTTTATCTATCTCATCATCATCATCATTACAGCCCTTCACAAGTCCACTGCTGAACATAGGCCTCCCTCAAGGTATGCCACAAAGCACGGTCCTGAGTCACCTGCATCCATCGACTTCCTGCATGTCTTACCAGGTCGTCACTTCATCTAGTGTAGTTTATCTACCTATTATTATATATTTAAATATCTATCTATTAAATAACAAGAAATCTTATGGCCTTAATTAAACACTTAACCATGCAGAGGTCGCGTGGATAACAATAGTAATCCACTGTAAAATAATCTCAAATTTAGATATTTTTGAAACCAAATGAATCGAAATAAATTTATAAACTGATTTATGATCTAACTGAAATTAATGTTATATTTTCATATTTGAAAGTTTTTTAAATATTATAATTTGAATAAAGATGGACATATAAATGGTTTTTGTTTATTAAATACTAACCGTTGACTAAATCTTACTCTGTATCATATTTAAAATAAAATAAAAATACATTTTATTTGAGAAATTAAAGCTTTATTCTAATTTTAAATTACGTAATCCACGCAACCGTTTTTTATAAGGTGCGTTTTGTGATTAGTGGTGTCTGGAGTGTTGCTGATATCAATTGAGTGGTGTGTGTATCTGGTGATTGATTTGTGATTGGTGGTGACTGGAGTGTTGCTGATTTCAATTGAGTGGTGCGTGTATCTGGTGAATGATGTGTGATTGGTGGTGACTAGAGTGTTGCTGATATCAATTGAGTGGTGTGTCTATCTGATGTTTAATTTGTGATTGGTGGTGACTGGAGTGTTGCTGATATCAATTGTGTTGTGTGTGTATCTGTTGATTGATTTGTGATTGGTGGTGTCTGGAGTGTTGCTGATATCAATTGAGTGGTGTGTGTATCTGATGATTGATGTGTGATTGGTGGTGACTGGAGTGTTGCTGATATCAATTGAGTGGTGTGTGTATCTGATGATTGATTTGTGATTGGTGGTGACTGGAGTGTTGCAGATATCAATTGAGTGGTGTGTGTATCTGATGATTGATTTGTGATTGGTGGTGACTGGAGTGTTGCTGATATCAATTGAGTGGTGCGTGTATCTAGTGAATGATGTGTGATTGGTGGTGACTGGAGTGTTGCTGATATCAATTGAGTGGTGCGTGTATCTGATGATTGATTTGTGATTGGTGGTGACTGGAATGTTGCAGATATCAATTGAGTGGTGTGTGTATCTGATGATTGATTTGTGATTGGGGGTGACTGGAGTGTTGCTGATATCAATTGAGTGGTGTGTGTATCTGATGATTGATTTGTTATTGGTGGTGATTGGAGTGTTGCTGATATCATTTGAGTGGTGTGTGTATCTGGTGATTGATGTGTGATTGGTGGTGACTGGAGTGTTGCTGATATCAATTGAGTGGTTTGTATATCTGGTGATTGTTGTGTGATTGGTGGTGACTGGAGTGTTGCTGATATCAATTGAGTGGTGTGTGTATCTAATGATTGATTTGTGATTGGTGGTGACTGGAGTATTGCAGATATCAATTGAGTGGTGTGTGTATCTGATGATTGATTTGTGATTGGTGGTGACTGGAGTGTTGCTGATATCAATTGAGTGGTGCGTGTATCTAGTGAATGATGTGTGATTGGTGGTGACTAGAGTGTTGCTGATATCAATTGAGTGGTGCGTGTATCTGATGATTGATTTGTGATTGGTGGTGACTGGAATGTTGCAGATATCAATTGAGTGGTGTGTGTATCTGATGATTGATTTGTGATTGGGGGTGACTGGAGTGTTGCTGATATCAATTGAGTGGTGTGTGTATCTGATGATTGATTTGTTATTGGTGGTGATTGGAGTGTTGCTGATATCATTTGAGTGGTGTGTGTATCTGGTGATTGATGTGTGATTGGTGGTGACTGGAGTGTTGCTGATATCAATTGAGTGGTTTGTATATCTGGTGATTGTTGTGTGATTGGTGGTGACTGGAGTGTTGCTGATATCAATTGAGTGGTGTGTGTATCTAATGATTGATTTGTGATTGGTGGTGACTGGAGTATTGCAGATATCAATTGAGTGGTGTGTGTATCTGGTGATTGATTTGTGATTGGTGGTGACTGGAGTGTTGCTGATATCAATTGAGTTGTGCGTGTATCTAGTGAATGATGTGTGATTTGTGGTGACTTGAGTGTTGCTGATATCAATTGAGTGGTGTGTGTTTCCGGTGATTGATGTGTAAATGGTGGTGGTGATGGCGTATACGGTGAGCCATCTACTGTTTTTTGAATATCATTACGAAATGACAGCAGTCGTTCTTAAGGAATCTTCCGAATATGAGGTAGGAGACTCTTTAGGAACAACAAATTATCATCATCTTCATTTTGACTTCTTTTATTTTCAAATACTCCAGTTTTTGCCTCTCTATGCCTAACATATTTTGATTGAATGTGTTGGTTTTTTTGCGTGGTACTAAGCTCTCTTTCGGTGATTTGGTGCTTGCTGACTTCTCTGAGACGTTGCTTGGGCTGGCTTGATCAGGATTTGAATCGTTTTGATTGAGATTGTCTTGATCGAGATTGTCTTGATCGAGATTGTCTTGATCGAGATTGTCTACATCGAGATTATCTTGGTCGAGATTAGAACCACCTTGGACATAATAAAAATCACTGGTTTGTGGCTCAGATCCCACTGATAATTGGCGTTTCGATTTGGTCAGATTTCCCGAAGATTTTCTTGCCTTAATGATATCTTCAAAAACAGCAGGGATTTGTAATATGGCCATTTTGGTTCATAGGAAGTAGGTGCTCCATCCCCAGAACGTGGAACTGGAATTTTTCCATGTTTGATTACAAATTGCTCCCTCAAATATTTCCATTTCTTCCTGACTTTGTTCTCTGAAACATAAAATATTTTATTTTTATTTCAGCTATCTTGCAACTGGTGCATCATTTGCACATTTGGCATCTGAATTTAGAATGGGGATTTCTACAGTAGAGGCGATAATTGAAGAAACAGTCAGTATATTATGGGATGAATTACAACCAATACATATGCCTATACCTACAAAAGAAACTTTCTACTCAATAGCAAACGACTTCAAGAATATTGAAGGAAGGAAGCATGTACATGTAATCCATCCAGATCAGTCGGGATCTATGTTTTTCAATTACAAAAAGTTTTTTTCTATGGTTTTGCAAGCAGTCGCCGACGCAAATTATAAATTTTAATTACAATAGTTGAAGTTGGTGGATTTGGTAAACAAAGCGACGGTGGAACATTTAAGGCTTCCGAACTATATAAAAATTTAAATACCGGGGAGATGGATACACAAAATCAATCCTTAAGCCAATGAAAGGCTGAAAGAATATGCCAGAGTCATATTATTTAGGTACATTTTTTTGTCTAAAATAATCTCTAATCAGATACCTATAACGTAATACTTATTTATTTCAGCCCAATTTAGGCGTTAAAGTGCTAGAGACATTAAAGACTCAATGTGAAAAATCAAATGCTTAAATGCAAAATACAAGCAAAGAAGCTTGCTAATTTCAGAAACATTTTACAGGATCTGAAATAAAATGCGCAGTAGTAATATTGCTAAAAATATCAAGTAAAATTAATTTTAAATTTTACTGTGTACTGCCAATTTGATCGCTTTTGATGATTTTGGCATATTTTTTACAGAGATACTATCCCATAATAGTCTATTAATGTATATTATGGTCACGATTCAGTCGTGAAGTGATAGTTTAAGATAATTCATTTCCTCATTTCGTTTCGAGAAAATGTCGCTGGAGACAACTATTATAACCTTTGAGTATTCAACCAACTGGAGAGGCCATGCGCGTTAATTCCTAAACAAAAATTCTGTCAACATCAGGGGGGCGCAAGAAAACCACACAACTGTATACTTAACTACAAATGCAAAATTAAATCGCGTCACTACAAACGCACACTACAGCATTTGTGTTTGTGTTTATCGCGTTTATGCATACTGTTACGCGCTAAAATCAGCACACTAGCGCCATCTAGTGTCAGGAACGAGAGCGAGGGGAGCGTTGCAGAAAATGACATCACAAATCTTTCGACCGACAGCGCCACCCGAAGAACTAAGTTTCTGGAAAATCTACACTCGAATACTCGTTGCCTGGCGCGCATTTACTTAAATGTTCGGGACGCTTCTTTGCTAATTATATAAATAGGCGCTGCAAGATGCGATCGGAGCAGTATTGGAATTGGCGACACAAGCGAAGCTTCGGAGCGGAATAAAGTGAATTAGTGTGTTTAATTATTAGTGTTTTAAGTTTTAATTTGTGTAAAGTAAATTAAAGTGTTAATTTAGGTAATTTTATCGGCAATTTTTATTGTCACGAACCTCAAGCTCGTAACAATACCATCAAATTGTACACGTGTCGATACACTGATGGCGCTGTCTGAATGCGTAAGCAACGTAAGGCGTGGACTATGTCGATGTTTTTTATCGATAAACAAATCACCATATTTCGCATAAGTCTTTATTTGATTATAAGTAATACATCCATACTATACTAATACTAATATTATAACCTTCCCGACCCGACGTCGGGAATCAAAAGTTTAAATCCATACTAATATTATAAATGCGAAAGTGTGTTTGTTTGTCCTTCTTTCACGTCGCAACAGAGCGTCGGCATGGCGTGATTTTTTGTATGGGGATAGTTCGGTGGCTGTAGAGTGACATAGGCTTTTTCGCGGAAAAACATATTATTCCCGTGGGAAAATAGAATATGTTGCACAAGTTTGTCCTTCTTTCACGTCGCAACAGAGCGTCGGCATAGTTCGGTGGCTGTAGAGTGACATAGGCTACTTTTTTCAGCGGAAAAACATATCATTCCCGTGGGAAAATCGAATATGTTGCAAAATTAAATTCAGCTAGGTGGCGCCACCGTGATTCTACAAGATGGACGACGGTACGACGGACGAACACAGAAGGTCAGAATATCTGGACTATTATGTCTTTTTACCAAAATTAAGATAAAAAATGTATGGATCTGTATTTTTCCAAGCAGGACCGGGAAGAGAGCGATAAAAACATAAAATTCACCAGCTGATTTTCTTCAAACGTTTTGGTGCATTGTAATTCACAGAATAGGCGATAACCTCGCAGACGATATTAAGTAATCCGTTGATGCTCTGCCTACCCCGCACGGGTTACAGGCGTGATTATAAGAATGGATCAGAAATACTGTCACCACCTGTCACTTTTAGGTATTTTAACGTTTTTTTTTTATAAATAGGTTTTTTGTTACTTCATAATGCCTCGCAAACGTAAGTCCAGCCTTTCAAGAGTATCTTCTCAAAGACAAGCGAAAAGATTAGCTCGATCGCTAGAATCTTTAGAGGATGCTGAACTGAGAAGACAAGAACAAGCAGAGCGTCAGGCTGCTTTTAGAGCATCTGAGACACCTTCTCAACGTCAGCAAAGGCGTCTTGAACAGACAGAGCGTCAGGCTGCTTTAAGAGCTACTGAAACACCTGCTCAAAGTCAGCAAAGGCTATTCGAACAAGCGGAACGTCAGGCCGCCTTAAGAGCCGCGGAAACACCTGATGAAACTCAACACAGACTGATTGAGCAAGCTGAACCTCAATCTACTATAAGGGCATCTGAAACACCAGAACAGGCACAGGCGCGAAGAGATGCAAATGCACAGCTCCAAGCTGAACGTCGACAAAATTTTCAAAGAAACAATTGGTCGGTTTTTAATGATGCAGCATTCAATTATGATCCGTTGATTGATTATAAAAACACAGGTTAGTTGTTATCGGACTGATGGACAAGGCGTGTCGATTTTGCAGCGCTTTAAAATGGAACGATGAGACCGCAGGCATGTGCTGTTCCAATGCCAAAGTGTCTCTTCCGTTACTTGGTGAACCAGAAGAACCTTTGAAAATTCTCTTTTTATATGATGCTTATGAGTCACGGTGCTTTTTAAACAGGATCCGGAAATATAACTCACGCTTTCAAATGACGTCCTTCGGAGTTGACCGGGAAATAAAAATGCCGGGATTTTCGCCTACATTTACGGTGCAAGGGCAAATTTATCATAGTATAGGTTCACTTTTTCCAGCTGAAAACGAACAGCATAAATTTTTGCAAGTATATTTTATGGTTGACGTAGAAATTGAGGTAGACCTTCGCTGCCTATCGGTAAGCCAATCCATAAAGGCGGTGTTTAGTGGGTAAAAGTCTCCACATAACCACGCAGCCGGCTGCGTGTATGCTATGAGCATTCACCGCCTCCCTCCCCCGCTTTCCGGAGGGTTTCCCATATTTGCTTCGGGCGTAAAAAAAAAGAAACCGTCGCTGCCAATTTACCCAGGGAGTTGAGAGAGACACAGTGTTCAAAATTCAAAGATTCTTGCATTAACGTAACATTTTAGTCAAAACATTTAAAACTGCTTTAGAAAACCTACCTGAAGAGGATTATAAAGTCGTCATTCATGCAAATCGGACCCCTCGAGGAGAGCATGAAAGGCGCTACAATGCACCTTTGATAAACGAAATAGCAGCCGTAATTAGTGGTGATCAATTTTCTTCACGAGACATTGTCTTGCGAGCACGTGATGATACGTTGCAACGGGTAGCCGTACACACAAGTTTTATGATGCTCTGCAATACCCATTGATTTATTGCAAAGGACAAGAGGGTTATCATTTTCAAATTCCACTCGTTAACCCGGTCACAAAGGAGCCTACTCCGAACAAAAAAGTATCATGTATGGATTTTAATGCGTATCATATGATGTTGCGAGAAAATGATTTTAATCTCTTAGCCCGGTGTAGACAATTATTTCATCAATTTTTGGTAGACATGTATGTGAAGGTAGAAAATGAACGTCTCCGTTATATATCTTTAAATCAAAAAAAGCTGCGCGTTGAGAATTATATACATTTACAAGATGCAGTTTCTAGCGACGCCAATGTAAACCCCAGAGATTTAGGTAAAATGGTAATTCTGCCCTCATCATTCGTTAACAGTCCCCGCTACCTACATGAGTACACACAAGACGCATTCGCCTATGTACGAACTTACGGAAGACCTGATCTTTTTGTTACTTTTACTTGCAATCCCACATGGAAAGAAATAACCGAGGAGCTAATGCCGGGCCAAAAAAGTACTGACAGACACGATTTAGTTGCTAGAGTATTTAGATTAAAAGTACAAAAATTAATGTATGTAATTAACAAAGGGAAAATTTTCGGAGAGGTGCAGTGCTTCATGTATTCAATTGAATGGCAAAAAAAGAGGATTACCGCATGCCCACATTCTAATATGGCTTAAAGAGAAGTTGCGGCCCAGCCAAATAGACGACATAACAAGCGTCGAGATTCCGGATCCTGAGCAAGATAAAGAATTGTATGATACCATCGTCCGAAATATGATTCACGGTCCATGTGGAGCACGAAATTCAATATCGCCATGTATGAAAGAAGGAAAATGTACAAAGAAATTCCCTAAACAGCTATTAAAAGAAACAGTGCACAATGACAATGGCTACCCTTTATACAGACGCAGAGCTCCCGAAGATGGTGGCAGGAAAGTTACAATCAAATCTCGCTCTGGAGCGATCGAAACCTTAGATAACAGCTGGATTGTCCCGTATTCGCCCATTCTATGTAAAATGTTTAATGCCCACATTAATGTAGAAGCATGTAGCTCTGTCCGCGCAATCAAGTATATCCGTAAGTACATAAATAAAGGAAGCGACCAAGCATTATTTAATCTCAGGAGTGAAGGTGAGG